TTCTCCATTATGAGACTTTTGGAGATGTCTTAGAGCTAATGTCTGCTCCGTCTCAAGTTCATTACCTCTCATCTGGAGTACTGAAACAGCTTTCCACAGGTTTTCCCCTTCTAACCCATTCTGCACACTGTTTTTTTGGGCAGCAGCTGGGTGAGGTGATCAGAAGTCATCAGTGGTTCCATGATGCCTCCTGACATTAAGTCTGAACTCCTCAGCCGGCTGTTCAAGGCTCCAGTTAGTCTTTCCAGCCTTGGCCTTCTCTCTGTGTGTGCTATACACTCTGGCCAGTCTGTAGCGATCGCCACGTTCCACGCTTTCCTGCCTGTGTTTCTTTGCTTACACCTGTGGAAGTTCTCCCTCAGTTTTCACTTATCAAAACTCTCCATTTAAAAAAATCTCCTTAATGCAAGCTCCTTCTTTCCTAATCCTAAGCCTCCTGAGCTTCCATACACTTTAGGTAGCTACATAAAACATTAGCTTCTACTATGAACCAGGTAGTAGGGATGCAAATAGGAGCAAACAAGACTGTCCCTTCCCTTGAGCGTATGTTTTAATGGGAGAAGACAGCACATAAAGGGAAGCTGGGAAGATGGGCTGCAGGGGGAGCCAACACAGGAATATCTATCGATGGTAAGAAGTGGCTTGGACACCTGGTTCTTGAAAAAGTGAACATATGGAAGAATGGAACTGACTCCATCTTGTACTGTCATAACCATTTTGCTGTGTATCACCCCTCATGAGCTGCCAGACCAGACACAGAACTGGTGGTATCCTTCAGTGTCTCTTCTTAGTGGTACAAAAAGACTTAGCTGCTGAAGGTGGAGGATTCTGGAATCCTAGGAATGTCCTCCTCCCTTGTCTGGCCTGATAGCCACTTGCCTTTGATTTGGTGAAACTGTTTATATAAGAAGTTGACTCCCTTATCCATTTCCTAGAGCAAATGATTTAAAATTTTCTTTTAACAAGTATGCTATTTTTCTTTGTATGACCACCTGCATTTTAATGAAGTCATTTTTCTTTTTTTCGTTTCACATAACATATAATTATTGCTTGCTAAATTGCAAATGGTTCATTCCCCATCAGTTACTGGAAAGAGAATGACATACTCTGACTGTGATAAAGCCTGTTACTGATTCATTCTGGCCTACTGGTATTAACTAGTTGAATTGATAAATAAATTTGACATAAGGCACAATTCACCCATTAGAGTGGTCCAGGGGCAGAGTACATGGATCTTGTTTGAAGGAAGAGGGTAGACCAGAAGTGTGATGCTTTTGGCACCTACCATATTCTAGCTTGAATTAACAGTTTACTTATATACCTGTCTTCTTGTATATATACTTGTATATATAGCTCTTCTATAGCTGAGCCTGTTTTTTTTGTTCATCTTTGAGATCTTGTACCAACTAGCATGTTGTTTGAACAAGTACATAGGAGGCATCTAATAAATGTTTTTTTTTTTTAAATGAAGTGTGGCCTAATGGTACATGTGAGGAAAAGTCTTCTGATGAAGCTGAATTTGAAGAAAGACAAAAAGAAACTACATTAGCACAACGTCTTGTAATGATAGATGCTTTTTCCCTTCAGCAAACTTCATAAGATAGAAGAGGGCATGGAAATCAGTAGGGAGATTAAAGTGATAGAAATGATACAGACATTGAAGAATGCTTTTGCTTTTCATCATTTGAAATGAATTGAAGAGATTCCAGGGAAGAAGATGAAATAACTTGAGAAAAGGCAGCTTGGTAGTTATGTTTGCATAACTATATTATGTAAACATAAAATAAACATAAGTATATTTACAGAAAGGCAGTCATTATATGCCATTAACATAACATCGTATGTTATGTTAGGGCACACTTTATTTTTGTGCAACAAAGACAGAAGAGCCTTTTTCAGGGATTTATTTAAGAAATCTATTTGCCTTATGATATATGGTTTCAGGCCATTTTCCTATACTTTTGATACTTACGAGGCTAGTTACCTTGTAGGAAGAACCCCAAGGCAGGACTAGACTTGTTGAATCATCAAAGAAATATTAAATTGTTTATAGGATCATAGATTTAGAGCTAGAAGGCACCCAAGAAGCTTTCTAACCCAATCCTCATTTTACAGATAAGCAAAGTCAGTCCCAGAGGCTTGCCCAAGTCCGTGTTTCAGGGCAGCTCTGGCAGTTCCTGGGGTCAGAGCTGCGGCTCAGCTTTGGTGCCCATACCTTGGGACCATACTGGTTCTCCTAGGGAGCTGATTAGCTCAGCTCAGTTCAGGTATTTTATGAGGTTGGGGTGGTGGGAGCCTTCTAGGCAAGTCTGATTGGTTTCCAGCCCTGAGATCATATGAGCTAGGAAGCTGGATTTTGTGGTTACAGAAGATCTAGCTTATAGGGGTTTCAGAAAAGGAGATGAGGTTAGAGTAAGGACATGTCAGGAGAGAGAAGAGGAGGACAACACAGCTAGAGAATAAGGCAGCCTGTTGGAAAGAGAAAGACCAATCTGGAAAAACTCCAGTACCCTTTCTGAAGTGGTAGGATGAATTTTAATTTACTCCCTGGTGTGGGGAGAAGCAGAATGGGGGATGAGGGATGAGGGAGGCAGCTATGGCTTTACTTGTTTGAAAAGCTCTTCAGTAATTTTTTTTATAATTTTGTTCGTATAGTTCCTGGGTTTGTTTTGGCAATGAGTTTTTAGGGAATCTAGTTCTCAAAGAGACCATGTCCTTTTTACATATATGTTGTCTTGTCTGATCCTTACAGTAACTCTTGAGGTGGTTTGTACAAGTAGTATTCCCATTTTACAGATGAATAAATTGGGACTCAAAGAGATTATGACTTGCTCTGTCACCAGCTAGTAGGGGAAAATATACTAAAAGTAATTTCCATTTTTGCATCGGGGATGTTTCCTTTTATGAATTCCATTGAACTTAAGAGCCCAGCTTACATTTTAACACTAACATCCCACTCTTTCACATTTACTTTGAGGAAAGGGAATGGATTTTTTTCATACTGTAAATTAAGGTTTATCAAGTGAACATTTTAAGGATTATCAAAAATGGAATACAGCATGGCTACTTAGGAGAGGTCTATGGAGTGATTTAGGGGCAGGGCACCAAGAAAAGAGGAGCTGAGGGGGGGCAGTGTGGGAGGCTGACAGATAAAGTTGACCTGCTTCACAGTTTTGTCTGGAGTGGTCTCTCTTGCTGAGGCCCTTCCACAACCCTGGCTATAGGGCCACTAGATTTTGCTGCTAAAAGATTAACCAGAATACTCATCATTCAAGACAATGGAGATATTATTTTGTACTTTTCCTCTCAGGAGTTAATAAAACTACTAAGATATACCAGAGTCTGTTTCACTAAGAAGAAGAACCAAGCTCATTGTGAAGAGTGAGGTGTCTGGGCTTTGTTTCCAATTCTTTGTGAAATGTTACCTGACTTATTAACAACTAACCTAATCTGGGGAGAGTCTTGGGCCCAGTGGGTGAAAGATGATGTCATCCTTACCTCTTAAAGAAATCTGCTTCCAGCTTAATGGCCATTAAGCTAGACTCCACATCATGAAATGCCTTCTCTTTCCAGCATAATCTTTGTATGTGATTCAACTCCACTCTTTTTTGCACCATTCTCAGCCCTTTCATTCTTATTTTTCATTATCTCTCCCTAGTTGCCTTTGATTCCTTCTGCTCTCCCTAGGCTTCTTCCCTACTGTGTTCCTAGCTACACAATATCCTTATTTATTCTCTGGTTTCCTAAAACCTCCTATTGTATCTAACCCTGTGGTTCAGAAAGTGCCCCAAATTATGTTCCTAAGTTACCTCCATCCTACCTTCCCTCCTGGAATCTTAGTAAACTAATTGTTGTTGCTCCTATGTCCCTCCTGGTAGTTTTACCTAACTGTTACAGCCCAGTAACAGTTATGGAGATCACTGTCTTCGTTGTAAACATTTACTTTCAGCTGGCACCCAGCTCTTGTAGTTTTCCCTGTTTGATTGCATAGCATGTGCCCCAAATCACAGGATTTGAGAGTCAGGACTTAAGTATCCATCTAGTCCAAAGCATCTATGAAAGGTATTCCCACTGTAACATGCTGCAACATACTATAATGTATATAGTAATATGCTATGACATACTACAACATCCCCACATAACATAACATAACGTGCCTGACAAGTGCTCTGCCGTCCTCTGCTTGAAAACCTCCCAGGAGGAGGAACACAGTAACCCTTGAAGCCGCTCATTCAACTTTTTAACCCTAGAACTCACTTCTGAAGACCCCCGAGACCCCCTCCTTCAGATTGGATGACTCCTTCAAGAGCCTTCATTTAAGGAAGCTGTCAAGGCCAGCCATTTTTTTGTTTCCCAATAGGCTGCAGTCCCCACCCCCCACATCTACCTTCAGCTTCCTTTTTGTGTCTTCCCCATAAGAGTGTAAGCTCCTTGAGGGCAGATGCTGTCTTTCTTTTTGCTTGTACATATGTTCCCAGCATGAGGCTCAGTGCCAGACTTGACTATTTGACTTGATTAAAAGCAGCCACTTAGCACAGTGAATAGAACTCTGGGCCAGGAGTCGGGAAGACCTGAGTTCAAATGTGGCCTCAGACCAGCTTTGTGACCCTAGATAAGTCACTTAACCTCTGTCAGCCTCAATTTCCTCAACTTTAAAATGGGGATAATAATAGCATCTACTCCCCAGGTTTGTTGTGAGGATCAAACAAAGTAATATTTGTTTCTTTTTTTTAAAATAATATTTGTAAAGTGCTTAGCACAGTGCCTGGTTCATAGTAGACATTTAACAAATGCTTTGATTATTGATGTCCTTCCTAAACTGTGGCACCCAGATATGAACATAATACTGGAGATGTATTCTGACTACACAACGACTACAATAATGCGAATGAAAAGTTGAATCAGTAGATTCGCTCCCAGAAGCTGTGGGTCACCAGTAGCTGTGGGCTCCTGTGCGTGGTGATATAACTAGAACGTTTGTGTGTGCTTTTCTTTTCCAGCTGGCATGCTGCTGTGGCTATGCCGGGTGTGCCTTGTGCTGCAAATGCTGCCCCCGGATCCGGCAATCCAGGAGCACTCGCTGCATGTACGCACTTTACTTCATCCTCATCTCTCTCATCTGCTGCATCATGATGTCCAGAACGGTAGCCACAGAGATGAAGAAACATGTAAGTTGGCATCGTGGTAACTTTGCTCAGACCAAACCCAGACTTATCTATATACAGATATTCTTTTGCAGAAGTCTATTGAGATGATGTGGTGGAAGCATCTCTGGTCCAGGGACCAGGGATATCTGGTTCTGCCTCCTTACTTGAGCTGTTCAGTCTAGGGCAAGTTTCCTCACCTGTAGAAGGGGCATGATAGAAACGAATTTAAGGTTAGAAGTAAATTAGGGTTAGGGTTAGAGTCAGTCAGCATTTATTAGGGCAATGATGGCAATAGGGCCACTAAATAATACATAAGGATCCCTACAGGTGGAATATTGACTTAGAAACCCAAATATTAACATTATTTATTTCTACTGTATTTTTATTTATTTTGTTATGTATCTCCCAATTACATTTTAATCTGGTTCTGGCTCATTGGAACGTTATAAGCAGATGATCCTTCTGTAGTGGATGGAGAGTTGACTCTGGAGTCAGGAAGTTCATGGTTCAAGTACTGACTTTTTGACCCTGGGCAAGTCATTTAACCTCTATTTTGGTTGTTGGTTTTTTGTTTGTTTGTTTGTTTTGTTTTGTTTTGTTTTGGAGGCATCCAGGGTTAAGTGATTAACCCAGGGTCACACAGCTAGTAAGTGTCTAAGGCCTGATTTGAACTCAGGTCCTCCTGACTCCAGGGTTGGTTGGTGTTCTATCCACTGTGCTACCTAGCTACCCCCGTTTAACTTCTTAATATCCCAGACTAAGAACAAGATGATTTGTCAGTTTCCTTCAATGGTGGCTGTTTCTGTGATGGAACTTCCCTATGTGGGTGAGATCACAGTTCTGGCCAAAAAAAAGAAGAAAGAAAAATGCTTTTATTATCCACTTCAAAGAAAGTTCTGCGCACGTGTGCTTGCGCGCGCGCACACACACACACACACACACACTTACATTATTTATATATATGATGCATTCAGTGTTCATGAGAGGTGTGAGAATGCCAAATGGTTCAATAGCAGAATTATTGGGAGTGGAAAGGTGTTCCTGGCACTCTTTCTGACCCATCTGGTAGAGGCCAGGCTGCTGGTGGTGGGAAGGGGAGGCCACTCCAGTTCCCTGGAACAGTAAATGCAGAGCTAAGCATGCTGGTGCAAACTCTTAGAGAACCTATTTCTGGGTGTCATTTTCCTTGCCTCAAATAGCAGGTTGTCTCCACATTGCAGTATGGCTGTATTTCAGTAGTCAGCATGTTAATTTGAAATTCAGGAATAGGGAAGGGGCCTGGACTCAAGTTTATAACTGCATTTTACCTAGAAAGAAAGGGTACAGTAAGCATGGCATAGATAAGATTTCAGGGAGAGTACTTAAAACTATGAAAACAATAGACCCATTTCAAGCACTTAAGAAACTTTGCTAATATCAAATTCTTCCCTGTTCATTCAGGTGAACTTAAATTCACTTTTAGGATTTGAGGGCCTTCATTACAAAAGACTTTATAATTGTGGTTGTATGTAATGTAAGTACTATAAAGTAATGAAGCGGGCTTTAAAATAGTTTATAATCCACGTTCTTCCCTCTCCTTTGGCTTGACTTAGTAAACTTCCAACGTGTATGTGCCCTTGCCATGATTTAATCTTGAATACTTGGGTTAGGAACTTAAAGAGTAAACAAGATCCTAATGTTATAAAAGTTTTTGAGTACTTCTGTTCTGTCTTTACTATTTGGAGTCCAGAGCTGCCACTTTTCAGTAAACATTTATTAAGTGCCTACTGTGTGCAGGTACTGTGCT